GGGGACGAGCCCCAAGGCTGGACTGAGAAGTCTGGGATAACTGGTAAATACTGCAGCATACGTAACTGCTTTCATTTTAAAGATTTCAATACAAGATAGGCAGCTGAACATCTCTCTTGAGGCTTAGTGCAAGTTTGTCTTTTATGTAATCTATGTGATTCTTTCAGTATCTCTTTAAAATGGGCTCCCTGAAACACAAGGTTCACTTGTGAACAACGGATGAATGTCATGCCACCAAAAAAAAAAAGAACTCTCCAAACAAACAAAACCCACCAAGGAACTATTTCCTTTCCCCCTTCCTTTATCATCCCTGCACCCCATGCGAGACCCTCCTTGAGCTTTCCCCTGGCAAACTTCTGCGTGATGCCACCTGTGGAAACTGTTACAAACAAACAAAAAACCTACCCTTTTAGTAGTTTTTTTTTTTTTTTGGAAAACTCTCTAAATGAAACACACTTTGACAAAGGCCTCTGTCTATGGCAATGAACTAAGTGAAAAATAATGCAATATGGAGAATAGAGTTCTCTATCTAACCTTATCTATTCAATTACCAGTTTATGGTGTTTCCATTAAATGCATTATTGTTAAAGTGGGATTTCACAGCCTCTGCTAAATATAAAACGACAGATTCTCTGTAGCATTTGGAAAGGCATCAACTCCTCCCACTCAGAGCGGTGAGGGAAGTGGAGCTGCTCCGTGGCGAGTACTGCAGCCTCAAGATTTCTTTCAGGAATGGACCTGAAATTCTTTGGTTTTTTCTTCATCACTTGGCTGCTTGCTTCCTCTTTTGTGACACAGCTGATGCTGTTTCCGTGGTGGTGGTGGTGGTGGTACTTAGCACTCTTTGCCTTTTGTTACAGAAGACTGGAAGACGCTAATCCCACCCTAAATTCACGGGCACTGCTCATTAAGGCGATCAGAGCAGTAACATCTAAATCACGTCTGCTTGAGAAGGAGAATAGGGATGTGGGAGCATAGGAATTTGTTGCGTTGGGTGACCAGAATTATTAAAAGTTAGCAGCTCTCCTGATGATATTTGAGTGGTAAGACAATAACAAGGAAGGAACAGACGTATCATCCTCCACAAGGAGTAAACCTTATAGTCATAGGGCTGTATTTTAAAATGTTCTATGCTTTGCTTACCTTACCTGAAGTGGGTAAAGTTTCAGCAGAAACTGCTTTAAGAGGAAAGGAAGATTTCCTCTTTTCCTTTTTCATTTTTTTTTCCTTGGCCTAAAGCCTGTTGCGCAGCTGTGATGTATTTGAAATCCCCATACCACTGTTTTATTTTTCTAAATAACAAGTCGCCGTCATCACAGAAAAAATGCTGCTTCAAGTCAGGATTAAACCAAGGCAAGAAGCTGAGGCTTCAAAATGAAAACAAGAAAACACGTTTTGGCACGGAGAAACAACAAGTGAAAACAGCTTTTTATTCACTTTCAAGGACCTGTGGAAAAGTAAGAGAAGTTTCCTAGAGTCTGAAGTTCATGGAGCTTTTACAGTCAGGTGTACCACCTGAGTGGCAATATCAGAAAGATTAGGAGGCCTAGCAAGGTAACATGAACATAGAAGACTTGCAAGATTTATTTTATTAACACTGTGCACGTATCTTGGAGAGTGGAGGATCGTCGTTCTAATTGCACCTCCTAATCAGTGACTGTGCTTTTGTTAGCTTTGTGGTGCAAATGCAGAAGAGGAAGAGCTCTTCCAGCCACCCCATTCCAGTTCTGGAAAACATTCAGAATTACTGCCAAAATAAAGCTAAACTTGGGGACACCCAGGGTTAAGATCTCATTCTACTATGAAGTAATTTTTGGGCCGGAACCCACCAAAGGATGAGCATTACCACTTCTCATGTGTCTAAAGGAACTGAAGACGTTTGGCAACCACAGTACTTGGGCCCATAAGCAAAAGAACAAACACTTAAAATAATTAGACTAAGTAACTTATTTTTAGCTATGAAACATGTTAGTCAGGAATTAAAGCAATAACCTGTTTCAAACTCAATGTCTGAACAACAGATAACTGGAACTTCTGGATTTGGTCCCTTGCAGAAGAGCATGCAAGTTAAATCTTAAATGCCTGTATTTTATATAGAAAATATTTTAAATGCAAACATGTATAAAATTGCTATTGTGTATAAAACTTCAGTCAGCTATCCTTATGCTATGCATTAATTCCAGAGACCAGCTGGAAATCTTTTGGAAAGTTTGATACAATTACATCTGACTGTAAATTTTTGACTGTTTTAATATACTCAGGTGACTTTAAAATAGCATTACATAGAAAAGAATTTAATTTAAAGTAATTACGAAAGAATAATTATCTTAACTTCAGATCTCAGTCTCTGAGGTATTACTGCTCAGAGAAGTCCTGTATGCCTTGTTCTACAGCCATATTCTTTGTATTTCCACAATATAAATACTCTATGGTAAATGATAGTGGAAGCTTGGCCTAGCTCAACTTCTTTTGGCTCTGTTACCAGCACCTCTTGGATGAGAAAACTATCTGATTCTCAGTTTTTGGCACCTCTGCTGTACTTTGTGCAGCTCATTCAAATGTGCCCGCTGCGGTTTGACTTTTCTGCAGTATGAACTTCTGTTGTGTTCAAACAACTAATTTACGTGTGCAGGGCTTATGTTACCAATTGTCCTTTAAAATGTTTCAATCAGCCAGTCCTTCAGGAGGTGTAAATGAAGATGGTGGGAGATGCCATCAGCCATTTAAGCAAAGTCCTCGTTTGCTCTGATACTCTGCCAAGCGAGTTGTTTTGAGCATGGCTTAAAACTTCCCTTCTTACAATGGCTGGTCAATTGGCTTCACATACTCTAGATGACGGGTGTAATCTAATCAAAACATTGGCTTTCTTTATACGATAGCGGAGCAGTCACGTTATTCACATGCAATAGGTGCCTAGTCCCTAGCTGTTTTGTCAGGGCCTCTGGAAAAGAGAGCAGCTATGAGCCAGCAATAGGCTGCACGAATGGTAGTGGCTACTACTATGGCTTAAAACCATCCATTTGGTACCGTGGCCTAAATAAGTGTAGTTCAGCCACTCCATTTCTGGTTTGCCCCTGCAGAAATACAGCCTTTCCCTATGGGATCTGTTCTTTGGAGATAAAACTGCGATGCATCGGAGTAACATCCAAAGACAGAAATATAGTTATTTGTGAAATAGTTTGAAGAGGGTGTTTGTGAACTTAGTTTGGATTAAATCTTTTGAAGTTACCCATAATTGAAAGTAGTTGTAAAGAGCTACTGAACGCCTTTGTGGAATCAGTTAACTACAATACTCTAAGGATCTTCACCAAAACTGGACAATCATTGCCCAAAGCAAAGGCACAGTAAAAATGTACAAGCAGCAAAATGAAGCTGGGAAAGCATGATGAAAGGAGACAGAGGTGTCAGGAGTGGGGCACAAACAGTGTGATGCTGAGAAGCAGCACAGAGAAAAAAGGCTGAAAGAAAAAGTTACCTGGGATAATTACAAAATAAACCATCGGTTTGACTCCGTATATGTGCTAGGAAGTAGGATTCTTTACTTTCCTTCATAAATCAAAGTTTCTTCAACTTTATTCTCAGTGTCTTTTAACACAGCATTCCACACACCAGCAACTTTTTATTAACCTCTTGAATCCAAAAGGCTCACAGTATGAATTGCATCAGCATGCTTATGGAGACTTCATTCAACATCATTACTGACATTATAAGCTGGAATAAGATCTTTGTTAACCTCCAGATTCAGTCAGCCATAAGCACATTGTGAACCTTTTTTTCTAACCACCAAATTGATGCTATTTTTAAAAAACCCACATACAGATTATTTTCAAATGAAGACATTTAAGTGTAGCATTTCATTAAAGGAAAAAGTGACAACATATACTTTACCCTTCTATTTCATCTTAAATCACATAACTAGATTATTGCAGTATTCTTTAAATTCAGAAGTCCCTTTTCCAAATGGGAGCGAAAATAGCTTTTCTCGTGACTTTAACTTCTAAGAAAGCTACTTTTTTTTTTGATCTTTTATGCTAGTCCTTTCCATGCGCTGTCACCGTTTTACCAGAGTAATAGTTTCTTTACTCTCCTTCTTTTTCTCTGAACTTCAGTATTTACTGTAAGCCCCTTCACTGAGGGACAGATGCTTGATCCTGCTGATCAGGGAATGACTCCCTGAGCAGTGTGAGTTTTGAGAAACAAATGTAAACTAGAACTGAAGAGTTGAGGGATGGATCCCAGATACTTAGATGTCTATCTAAGACTGAGTAGGAGTTGAAGGTGGTGGGTTTTTTTTTTTTTCTTGTGTAAAGCAGTGGTAAGACTTATTGCAGATATTCTCTGTGTTACTGATATTCCCATCTGATTAAGGCTGTTAAGAAGCTGGAGGTAATGTAGGAAAACGCCACACACAGTCTGACAACTGGAGAAGTTAAAGAGCTTGTTGTGATTAACTTTTAAAAAGTGACGTTGTTATGGAATGCGCGCCTTTATGCAAGTATTCAAACCAGTACGTTACTATACAAGGTGATCTGTTGGTCTTTTCTGGCCTGAACTCAGAGGAAAATAACTCTGGTTTATGGATGTGGACCACCTCTTATATATCGGCTATGAGTTCACTGTGAAAGAAAAGATTTCCTGTGTAGTCTCTGCCCTATACCTAGCCCAGACAAGTATTGAGGTCATTCATGAAATGAACTAGAAACAGAATAACCCTGAAAAAAAACCCGCTTGTGGCTGCTTTCTGGCCTGAAGCTTTGAGCTTCTGAGGAAAAATAACTGCTGCAGGAGGATTAACTGTTTGGCAAGCTATAGGATATCTTACCCTGCAACCCCACATAAAGGTTACCGTAAGTATAGAGCCAAGCTTTTTAGACTCGTTCTGAGGGAGAGCAAACTACCTGTCGGAAGGGGAGCTCAACCCCAGCAAGGGAGCCGTGTAGCACCACAGGCCTCACCGTGCTGAATTGTGCCTCTGTGGGACAGTGGGTTGAAGTAACGAATAACAAAAATGTCTCTGCTAAAACTTACGGCATTCTTTAAATGCCTTTTTTTCCCTGTACTCTTGAAATCAACCTCTGCTTCAAAGTTTTTCGTGCTTCTTTAGAAGTGACAGCAGATGAAACCCATATATGTATTAATTAAAAAAGAAACACCGCAGCAGAAAGAAATCTCATTCCTACTGAACACTACCAGCTCCTGTGATTCAGGGACC